AGACCACAGCAGCAGCCAGGCTTGTGGATGTGCATCAGTCTGTTGCACTCTTGTTTCCATGTTAAGAGGTGGCAAAAAGAGACTGTGTGGCCTAGAAAACCTAAATTCCTCCCCACTGAGGACAAATCTCGCCAATTCTTCAACAGCGGCATAGTAAGGAAGCTTTGCATGATTTGAACTTACATCATATTGGGGGGTCTTGCCAACAGCTATTGAAGACGGAACGTTGCAGAGCTGACCCCAACACCTTAGTCACCAGACACGCCTCTAGTCTGAAATTCTTAAGAATGCCGTCCTTGTTTCCTGTAGCTGATCACCAAGCACACATGGAGGAAAAGAGCATAGATCTGGATGCTATGTAACACAGGATTCCAGTGAAATTAAAGAGGAGGTCAATCTGCCCTCTGCTCAGCTTCTTACCTGGAGCCTTAGATTCACAGACAGGAAGTGGAGTGGTGATTGTCAGAGCTTAGGGCTAGGAAGGAATGTAAAACTGTTTAATGGGTGTAGTTATTTTCATTTTTCAAGATAAAGAGTTCTGGAAATGGTGGTGATAAGATATTTAACACCATTGAGCCACACTCCTGAAAATGTGTGACTTGTTTAATTGTAAGTTTTGTTTATGTAACTATTACAAACACTGGGAGGATATAGACATTTTTAAATATAACCACAAAAGCAGTTCTTTCTTTTTAGAAAGAAAAAATGAAACACAACAAGGAAGGAAAAGAAGGTCATAGGATTGTGAGAGGATTTTTGCAGTATCTGACAAAGAACACATTAAAATTGACTTTAAAAATAAACAAAAGTAAATAAAGAAGGAGGAAGTTAAAAAGCAGCAATGAAACACCACCCCCACCACAAAAGCCAAACAGGTGCTTTGTGCATGAAGCCAAGTAAGCAACAGGGGTGTTCAGCTGTGTCCATCACCAGAAACATGCGATCCAGCTACAGTGTACTGTTCAGACACATCTTCCAATGATTTTAACTAAAAAAAAGAAATGGAAAAAATTGATGTTACCATGATGAGACTTGAATTCCAATAACCAGTGACAGTATCAATTGTTACAACTGTTTTAGCACACTAACTTACCAATAACTGCTGAGGCTGTCCTTACCACAATCTCTTGGCTTTTAAGTGTATGACAGATAGGAATAACTAAGTATACTAATAGAAGATGAATAACAGCATCCATCTCACTGCTATTGATAATAACTTGGAAATGAATACTTAACACCCAACATCCCATATGTCCACTAACAGTAGAAACCATAAATGATGGAATGTTCATACAACTAAATACCATTCATCAATAAGAACAATATACATGAATTTCCGAATAAATAATATGCAGAATATAATTTGTTTTTATTTAACATTCTACATTTAGCTAAATTAATCTCACAAGTCAGACACTCATACTCAAAGTCATTAGTGGTTAGACTGAGGCACAAGACTGTAGAAGAGACCTTTCAAAATGCTTGTAATATCCTGTGTGCCTTGAGTACTTCTGACACAGGTGCCTTCATTTGGTAAACAATGAATGCATTTCCCTTTACACTGTCTGGAACTATAATAAAGTAACTTTATTTTGTCATTCAGACACTGTTTTCATGAGTATGTTCACTTCCTAAAAAGTAATTAGCATATACATATATAGTTCATTAATTTTAAGGCATGTCTTCTAAACTTCAGAGCAAGCTTATTTTAAATATAACTAGCTAGAATATAACTAGGAATGTTATATAATACATATTATATAACTAGAATACTCTATTTATATATAATTAGATAATATAAAATATTACTAGAATGTAAATATAAACTACATAAAATATAACTAGAAAAATATATAAACATGTCTACCTATAAATCAGTCATAGCCACAGTGATACAAATTTGAAATTGAATAGAAAGGGGCACACAACTCTTCTCCATGACAGCTAGGAAATACAGCTTTTAGAACATTCTCCTGGCATCAGGACAAATGTTTCCCTTTGTCCTATTTCTTGTCATTTGACTATTTATCAAGTGAACAACACTTAGAAATATAAGGGAATATAAAAAAAGAGGGAGGGAGAATTTGTACCAGTTTCAGAGAACTCTGTATTTACTTTAGCCCTTGGAGATTGTTTTAAATCTATTTTTCTTTACTTGCCATTTTAAAAACCTCTCTAGCCCCCTTGAGATTATTGTTCAAGTAGCTTGGTCATTTTAATTTCGCTTTGATACTGAATTTACAAAAATAGTACAAATAAAATGTTTACTAGAGATGCTCAATAAAGATAAGTTGTGTACATAAACAAAACTGACTCATTTTCATGTTGACTCCTTAAGCAGTCTGAGCTAAGCTTCCAGCAGTACTTATATAGATTTTTAAACGATATTCACTTTACTCCAAGAACCCAGATAAGTCAGCCTAGTAAATTTAGATTCTTTTCAGCAACAGTCAGGGTGTTTTATTTCATGTTTCTTTATTAACTTTAAAGTCTTGAATAAAAGAGAAATACTCTTTCCTCTGGGATGAACTATTTTAAATCACTCAGCCTTTTATTAATTCACAGTCTTCTGTGCAAATTTACTGTTGGTCACATATCCACAAAGTCTCTAAAAGTATTTCAAAGTAAGCAGGAAAAGCCCATTGTGTCTATTTGTACACTTTATATTTGTATATATAAAAAAATCAGTCACTATAACATGTTCAGATACTAATTGTATCCGCATGATTAGAGTCTCACAAGATAAATGAGTGTGTCATAAACCAAGAGTTTCACTTGAGTTTGGATTGATAAAATGAAAAATATATTAAACTGTTGCTTTAAATATATATATATATGGCTTTCCAAGTTTCTAGCATTTTAATTCTAGTGTTTCAGCCCAGTGTTGGATATTATATGATTTTTGAAATAGTCATTCTCTTGACTAAAGAATTTTAGTGAAAAAGTCTCCTTGGAGTTGCATATGGCTTTGGATTTCTGTATCATTACATTTAAGTAGAATTTTTTGTTATATTTCTGTTTTTGCTTAGGGACTGACTCATTCTTGGGTCATATATGATTACTGTAAGAAAACTCATAGACAATAAAAGGTCAGTAACAAATTTGCACAGATATTTAATAACATGCTAAGTAAAGCAGGGATCAGAAGAATGTAATTGTCAATATGAAACTCATTTCTCTCATTTACTAATTCCTTAACCACTGTTGTATTTCTATGTCTTCTCCTCCTTCTGGGTCTCATGTATCTCTAACTGGCTTCCAGCTCACTATACAGCTGAGGATGATCTTGGACTTCTAATTCCCCTGCTTCCACCCCCCATATGCTAGTGTTTTAGCTTTGGACCACCACATCCAGTTTATGTGGTGCTGGGAATCAAGCCCAGGGATTCCTATGTACGAGAGAAGCTGTCTAGCACCTGAGCTACACACTTTGTCCCGATGTTTTCTTCTTCACTCATTCTTTTAGTAGAATAGGAATAAACCAAGTAGGCAATCATAACAAAAACCCTTTTCCCATTAGCATGTCTCAGGGGAACTTACATTCTTACCAGGATTATCACAATATCAGTAAAGGAATGAAGAGTAAATTCAAACAAGAGAAGAGGGAAATCTATTAAAGAAGGACACTTTGAAGTAGAGCCTGGATCTGGGGATCAAAGAAAACAAACAAAAATAATTAAAGATTATGCTGCATTTTAAAAACGTATTTTAAATGCTATATAGGGGCGTAAGACCTGGGAATACTGAGAAAGTAGCATGTAGTGGCCCTATACATATAATATACTAACATTTAAACCATGATAAGCATGTTATCTCTTTAAGAATTTGTTTACTTTTTGTGGTGGAAACTGAAAACTTTTCTTTTAATATTGCTGTTGTCTATAATCCCCCTGCTGTGCACACTAGAAACTCTAGCTTTGGTTACAGCCTGGGAGGTGAGGCAGGAGCAGAAGTGTGCTGGTTGGAAATGGGTGGATCTGGGAGCTGTCCAATGTACCCAGTAAAAAAATGTACCCTTTAAAAAGACCCTAAGTCATTCCTGATTCTCTCTGAAATCAGACAGTCTCCATTTACATATTTCCTGCTGTTTCTTCTGATCTACCTTTGAAATTGTTTTTCAGTGTGGGTGTTTTCACAGATCTCTACACTGCCTGATTAACTACAGCCATCAGTAAACCAAAAATTGGAAAATAGGCTTTCCGTGTGAAGACTCGGGATACACATAAATCAGTAAAATTTCATTCATAGTATATCAAATTTACAATCTCCTCTATTTCCGTGGGTAGCCTCTAACTTCCCCGTAAGAAGAATTCAGTAAGGTATAGCTTTCCCTCTTAGACTTTACTGCAGATGCCAGCCAAAGAGGAGTCGCACAGATCAAAGTGTTGGATTTTTCTTTGTTCAAGAACAAATACTTGATTGGCAATTTGAAAGTCCGAAGACTGGCTCCTCAGCAGAGGGTTAGTTGTTCTCTGGATTATTGAAGCTAAATCGTATTTTTCAAAGGAAGCTTGTGGGTTCAGGAGGAAGGAGGACAATACAACGGACGGGCGAATGGTGTTGCTTTGTCCCTTAAGGAGTAATATACAGTAAAAGCATATGCATAAATGTCCCGAGTCTCCATTTTTTATTTCATTATCGCCATAACCTTTTCCCTCAACTGTAGAGGATAAGGCCAGGGAGAGTAAAGTCAAGTATCTCAATTGTCAGGCTGATTGTGTCCAATCCGACTTTAGAAGTCAGGGTCTGTAACCAGGCAGTGAGTTGTTTGCAATGCCCTAGAAGGAGAAAAAACACCGGTTCCAACAGAGACACTGGGGAATGCGCTCGGGCCCCCTGGCCATGATTACTTAAGCTAATGGAAGGTCTTGCCTTTCAGCAGCCGCTGCACTGGGATACCAGACAAACAGCTTCCCTCGACCCCTGACTGGAAGGGCCCCTCTTCTGGACATCATTAAAAGCGCATGCACTTGTTTCACATCCATTGGCAAATGGCGGCAAGATTCAGGACTCCTACCCTGAAGCCAAGGAGAAACCATCCCAGTGGAAAGATTTGGGCTTTGAAGTTCCAAACCGAAATTAAAGACCTACATGGGATAAGGAACCAGGAGAACATTGGTTGGATACAGGGATGAGAGCAGACACACAAAAGCACAGCAGGTAAGAACTGGGGGTTGCTGCCAAGAAGGAACAGCCCTGCCTGGTGCTGCAGGGGCAAAGCGCTCTTAGAACCTGAAAGCCAGTTGCCTTGAGCCTTCCATGAGTGCTCAAGCTTGTCATCTCCTATCAGCTTTCGGAAAAGGGACGTTGCCCTCGCCTTCCCTCTCCCTGAGAGTAATCCTTTCGGCTTGGTTATAAATACTAATGTCTCCCGGCGTTTGGTGATGTTGCGCCGCAGAAGGAGCCAAGGCCATTAAGAAGCCTCATCCGCAGCTGTATCCTTCCTTCCTGCACGAAAATCGATGACAGACACTGAGCGATGGCCACCTATCCTGAGCGCTGCTTGGACGCTACCATGCTGAACTTTGTCGCAGATCTCTCCTTGGCCTCTCCGAGACACCCTCTTCTCTGCGACTTCCCACCTGGGGTTCCTTTTGGGGACCGAACATTGGGGTTCAGAGAAAGAAGACCCAGGAGGCTGTCGCAATTTGAGGAAACAGACCAGGAGGAAGAGGTGGGCGAAGTGGTCTATGAGGACCGGGAGGAGGACGAAGAGGAGGGAGAGGGACGCGAGAGAGTAGCTTCCTTGCTGGGCCGCCCCAAAAGGAAAAGGATCATCACCTACGCCCAGCGCCAGGCCGCCAACATTCGGGAAAGGAAGAGGATGTTCAACCTGAACGAGGCCTTCGACCGATTGCGCAGGAAGGTGCCCACCTTCGCTTACGAGAAGAGGCTGTCTAGGATCGAGACCCTCCGCTTGGCCATTGTCTATATTTCCTTCATGACGGAGCTCCTGCAGAGCAGCGAGAAAAAGGAGGCCGGCTAAGCGTGGAGGGGAGAGCCGAAGAGGACCTCCCCCCTCCCCCCGCCCCCCGCGTTGCTTGGAGGGGAGCGTTTGAAGGGCAGAGGGACTGCTGGCCTTCTGAGTCTGGGGTTGAGATAGTTAAATTCGCACTCGTGGCAGCTCTGCAGCCAATTTTTGGGAATCACGCACAACCATAGGGTACATCTGAGAAAGTTGGGAGTCCGGTTGTCAAGGTGCTAGAGCTTCTGCTTGGAGCGGGCGGGAAACTGGTCTGCTCCTCCAAGGACCTTTTCTGAGCTTCCCTAGAGATCTCTCCTCCTTGCTCCTTTCAGAAGTAGAGATAATAAAACAGAACTTTTTCTCATGCACGATTTGTTGCTGCCCCGTCGCCATCTCCAGCAGGAGCTTCACTGTGGCCAGTGAGGGTGAGCTCACCTCAAGCCGAGACCCCGGAGCGGCCTCCCTGGGTTCTGAAAACTCGGAGGGGGCTCAATACTCTCAGACTAGTTAGGGGGAGGGGGAGGCAGAAGGGACGGGAGTGTAGTAGGGAGTAAGGGCACTAGACCAATTCACAAAATGCAACCTCTGAAAAGGGTCGCTCTCTCTCCCTAATCGCCCCCTCCCCAACCCCGGGTGCTGTGACCCCCCCATTTTGCGGTCAGGCGAACCCGACTATCTTGTCACAAGGCAGAGTGTCTCAAGAGTTAAAAGCAAGCCATTCAGTGAAAATCGCCAAGCTGCCGTTTGCTCAGAATTAAACCCTTTTCCTTGAGCTCCTGCTCGGGGTGGGAGAGGTGGGGGAGGGATCCTCCGGCTGGGTGCACTTCCCACGCTCGGCGGCCTTGGGGTTAGCGCTTCTAAGAGTCTCCAAGGGGAAAGCGCCAGAGTAACCCTGCACGCCTGAAAAACAGTCTTAAACCGTGGGTAGGAAAGTTTCTTTCAGTCTTTAAGCCGTCTAGGGACTATTGGGAAGGCAAACAGCCAAAAGGAGAGATGCGTTTTAATGCTTTGAAAATGCCTGCAGGTGGAGGTGAAATTGAAACCGGTTTGTTCTGGGAAGCTACCTTCCCGGACCCTCTGTTATTCCACAGTTCTTCCTTCAGAGTGACTTGGTAGCACGGGAAGCTGGGTCTTTATGACAGATGTGAGTAGGTGAAGAAAGGAACATAGGAGCTGGAGCACATAATTGTCAATCCATTCACTCCAGTGAAATCCCAAGGGAAAAAATGCCTGGTTTCACCCCACAATTATGCACGAGCAAAATGAAGTCATAACAAGCTTGCACAGTGCAATGCTCTGTCATACTCGAATACTAATAACATGGGAATCTTATATATGCTCATCCTAGAGAAATTGCAAAATGTAGGTTTTAAAAACTTAAAAATGAAATGGACATTTAAATGAGCCCCCACTGCTAATGCTACTAGACTCTTCATCTATTTCTTTCTGTTCTTTTATTTCCTACGCAGTTAGAAATTCAATATATGTAACAAATACAGGATACTCTGGACATTGATTCTTCTCAGAATTATGGAATGAGCACTTCATTCACTTTAAATACTAGAGGGGATTTCCATTACTGTATATTACTGCCATGCCAATGTATCATAATATAATCTCATTCCTCTACAGATGGCTAGCTCAGCACTTCCTTTTTTTCAAAAATGGTAGCATTGCAAACAGTGTTCTTATAAATGTCTTCTCTGTTATAATCACCTGGTGTTAGACACTTACAGTCCCTACAGTTCACAAATGTAGAATTCCTCCCTGGCTCTGTCAGTTGACAAATGGTATCAAGGAACTTCTAAATGGAAGGCCATTTCACCTACACTGCAAGGAGCACCTCCTGTTAGCACCCAGAATATTTTTTCCCAAGCGAGCTTGTCATTCTTTTAATAGTACATTTAATTCTCTTTGATTCTCATGGTGGTTATATACGCGTCTAAAGAAAGCTTACTACACGTTACTGAGGTTGATATTAAGGCTCAAGTATTTTTGAGCACTTACATAAACTCAAGCACAAAGCCATACAAAGCTACCAAATGTAAACTAACTGCACTCATTTTACCTTTGAGATAAGTACTGGCATCCCTGGAGTCTATATGACAGAAAACAGCCTTAAATTATGTTACTGATGCTATATGAATAGGATGAGAAATAGACTGACTGATCGTATATGTCAGTAAATCATAACCATTTCAATATTATTCTATTTTAGTGAATAGTAATTGCTTCATTGTTGCTTTTTTCATTTTGTTTCAATGCACTCCATATTTTTTTTTAGCTGAATATACTTGAAAAGTTATCTTCTGGGCTTTCAAGAATGATTGAACAAGGCTTGAAAGGCAAGAAGTCCAGACACGGATATTAATTCACATTTAGAATTACATGGATAATGGAGATGTAGCTAGGAATAGATTAAAAATTCTGCAAAAGACCTTTAAAAATAGAATATATAAATTTAGCATCAATGTGTGGCTAATATCATTGATACTATATTATGAAATATAATCTACTAAGTAGTAGTACAACTTTTTAGACACATGTAACATAGTATTGCATATATTGTGTATTTATATGCAGTTAAGTGTTATTCATGCTGAAATCTTCCTTCTATTTCTTCCCCTGGGACTAGGTAAGATCTGCAACTAGCCCCTTTTCCCAATAGCCTTTTAACTATGTCTTTCCACCAGGTATTTTCTACCTCTGCTATGAGAATGTTAGAATACACTGAAAAGAGAAAAACTATAAACAGCTAAGCCAAATATTAACAAAACCAGGGAGGATAGTTTTTCTAATGCTCTAGAACCTTTATTAAAATGAACTGAGTCAAAGGGCTGAGGTAATAGCTCAGTACTAGAGTGCTTGCCTAGAACATACAAGGCCCTGGGTTTGATTCCCAGCAGTTCTAAAATGAAATGAGTCTTGAAAATGACTTTATATCACATTTATAAAGTAATGTTCTTAAGTTCCTCTTTGTAATGTTTTCATTACCAAGGCTAGTGCATGTTTTAAGATACTTTTGTAATTACTCATTTTAATATATGAAAGGAAACTAGCTAGTTATTTCTCAACTCATCATACAGAATTGCTCATATGATCTACTGGGTTAATAAATACCCATACTTAACTATTCTTTGTTTAATCAAATGTTGACTTTTTTTTACAGATCATGTGGATGGGTTCAAAATTGAAGAGCCCATAGAATATTATTCATTCAGGTCCTTCTGGGGAACAAAGTTTTTTTTATATAAAGTCTGAGGCTGGAGAAATAGTCCAGTGGTTAAGAACACTGTCTGATACTCAGAAAGCCCAGTTCCATTCCCAGTACCCACATGGTGATTCACAACTGGAGGTCCAGTTCCAGCGGACCTGACACCCTCTTCTGGCCTCCATGGACACTGCATGCACACGATGCACAGACAGAACATCCATACACATAAAGTAATACAACAAATAAATAGAAATAAAATCTACAAGTGTTGAATAAGTAAAAAGATATACAGAATTCAAATTTTATATGTTGTTAAAAAATTTTAATTCCAGAGGAAGGGGGAAATTCTATGTAGTGTAAATGCCATCAACACCATTGGGTCTTAATGAGTACAGTCAACCATCACACTTCACTTAATCATTTCCACTATTCTAACACTCTCTGCTATGATCATAGCAAACACATGCTATTCCTATGTAGAATTTCTCTTCAGAAGTAAATGGTACCAAGGAACTTCTAAATGGAAAGCCATTTCTCATTATTACTAAAAAAAAATTACATCTATTACTTAAACTGTTACATTTTATAAGTATTTGCTTTGTAGATTTCTACATGCCCTCAAAGGAAATGTCTTTCAAAACATTTTCATAATCACTATGCTGATGATATGGTTTAAACCCTTGTAATGATCACATACTCTGAGAAATGGAACGACTTAATCGTAATATCAAATCATCCTTAGATATATAACAAAATTATCCATAGCCCAACATTAAAACCAATGTGCCACCATGTGTGGACACTCTAAATGTCCAAACAATGTGCTCTTATTTTGGTTTTCTCTGTGTATGATATTTACAGCCAATGTACTTTCAACAAAAATTTCATTGGTATGTTATGGACACACAGTATGTCAAAACTGCTTTATTTTTATTACCTACATCAACATTAATAAAATATCATAGGACATTGGATCTTAATAACTCCTACTAACTTAAAAGGGCCTAATGGTGTCAGTTCTAAAATACTGCAATGATCGGTTTTTTAAATCTTAAAGTTATTTAATCATTTCAAATCTAAATATCATTTTAGATGTTACTTGGAGGCAATTTATTCATATACTCTCTACAGACTAAAAACTGACTTTTGGTCTCAAGCTCAGTTCTCCATGAATATCAGATTACTATTAGTATTCAGACATGTTAACCATAAAAAGATCTAAATGAAATCATATTTGAAAGACATAATTAGGCTTTCCAAGAAAAGTAAAAATAATCAAGAGGCTTTTCCATCAACAGAGAAATGTTCAGGCTGAGCAGCCTTACTGTTCGCTACCCAACTCAAAGGCAGATTCTGGCAAAATTAGCACTAAAAATCAAATCAAATATTCAACTATTATGCACAGCCTGTGCATGAACATACAGTTCAGACCATTGCACTGGTGTCTATTGTCATATATGTCAGCATTTCCATTAAGAAAAATACTTCATAGAAAGTTTATAATGAAGTTCTAAAAAAACTGAGATTCAATTTAATAAGCAAAATCTTAAGACACCTTTTCTTCTAATGACAGATCTTCAAAAGGAACTTCAAATGCAATGAAGCCACAGCTACATTTTACATACATTGCTTCACAATGTACCTACATGTCAAAATGCATAGGAGCCACTCAAAAATATAAATTAGATCACTATTTTATTTTTACCAAATAGACATAGCAGAAACTTATTAAATGTTAACTACTCCACAGATGGTTTAAAGTTGAGACTATTTTGTTAAATAATATTTGTTAATGCTTTTTCTAGAT